AATTGAAATATCTTTATGAGTAGCTGATGTGATGATGGGGAAATTCAATGATGTATGACTTTTTATTGTTTCAAACAATCTAACAAAAGTTTATCTTATCAGCAATTCTCCCTTCAAGCTCCTTTACATTACCTTGCTAGTCATTAGGGAGAATCTGGTATTGTATCTTATTCTCGCCACCTATTCACTGGATGAAATGTTGATATTGTAAAGAAAAGCAAAATATTCCTCACTTCTGTGACTTGAAAGTCTAAAAAATCGGTCAAAGCGCGATTAAAACCACTAAGCTCTTATCAATGATATGCGAGGAGCTCCAATATTTACTGACGATCTTACGAGCAAGTTGTAATCCAACATCCATCCTTTAGATTTTTATAATAATTATTTAAACCGATCATTTTAATATTCGATCCAGCAGTAACTCTTTGTACTTGTCTTTTCTTTGTACAGATAATTTCATATCTTGCTTCGGTTTCCTAACTATCCAGATATCCTTTCTTTTCCAAAGGTGAGCGGCTTAAAGTTTATTTCAGAAATATTTAGCGCTAAAATATAGATTTGCTATATCTTAATGATAGACATAAAACCTTGTTGATCGATCTGTTTACTCTCACCACTTGATTTCTGTAAGGTATCTTGATATTGTAAGGAGAAACTACATTTCCATCATTTCTTTAAAGATATAAAATACGAAAATCTCGTATGTTATTTTATATATATTATAAAATTTTCAGAGAAATGAGCGCGCGCAGAACGTGCGCTGGTCACGTTTATTTGAACGAGTTTCGTGTTTATATTTCCATAAAGCACGCGCAAAGTGTTTACAAGCTGTACATCAAAAGTCCTCTGCTTTACGTCACCGTATTGTCATGGTTTATGGCCAATCCGGGTACTAGTGCATGTTGAAGAAATGAATATAACACTTGAAAAAAAAATGGTTTCCTTTATTATAAAATGAAAAAAATTTTACTTACCAATAGCCTGATGTAAACACTTGGGAGGTTCGAAAAAAAAACGTTCGGAAAAGAGAACATTACTAATGCAAGATTTTGGATGTTAACAAAAAGATATTTAACAAAGTAATTTGAGTTTAGCACTTGAAAGAGTAGAAATCACTGAAACCACGACGAAAACGAAGCGGAGTGGTTCTTATATTACATTTCTGTACGATAGGCGATTTCAAAATGGATGTTGAAAAGCTCGTTGCAATTTTGGTCTCAAATCATACCTGTGATTTCGAGTGCATTTTATTGAACGCCTCTCTCTCATTTCATCTTCATCAAATCAATTTCATGAAATTTGTCTACGATGCAGACGACACAAGATCATTTGTGTGGCGTATCAAGAAGAGACGATTTGACGGTTCTCGATTTATTTAGATGTAAAAGTGCTGTGAAAGATGTTTTGATCTGATAGAGTTGTCTCGATTCATAATCAGCATTTATATTAAACGCATCTCAAACAGTGATACTGACGCCGGCTTTATTGTAGTGAAGATCTGCAAGAGATTAGTGGCAAATTAAGTCCCTGGATTTTGAAAGTCAATTTGATAGCTTTGGTATGATACTGCAATTAAATACAGAAATATCAAAGACAATTGAAAGTTTTTCGTGACTGCAAGAGTTATCAAAATAGATTACCAAAGTAAAGCAAGAAAACCTTCTCGCATGTTGACCATCCTGGCTGCGCGGGTAAAAAATATCAACATTGGTAAAACTACCATAACCAAAATTTTATAATCTCTTGCCAAAATTATGAAGAGAACGATTTTAAAAAATTTGAGGATACATTCAGGTAGGCAAAAAAAAGGACAAAAAAGGAAACATCTATCTCGTTTAATATGCCATAACGTATGCTGAGAATTTTTTCAAAATACTTTAAAAAAAAGGAAACATCTGTTGTTGAAGGTTTATATGTACTGTATTCTTTCAAGTAATTTTCAATTCTAAATTGAAAATCTAATCCGGTAAAAATCTTTCCGATTTAAGCCGCTCACTCGGCTGGAGCGAGTGATAGGGGGGTGCATGAGGGCGAAAAAACGGGTGAGCACAAGGGATGGGAAAGAAGAACCTAGCTCCTTCATAGTCCCACAAAAAAAAAATTCAGCCACTTACCGTCCACTAAGAAAGAAGGGACAGCTTGCGCTTTCATCTTCTCTCCTGATAGAAATCACAGATATAGGATTCTTCAGGAAAAGTCAAAATTGTTCTTCAAAACCAAAACATATCAATAACATAAATGCCATCTGTTGAAGTTAGAAGTCCGAGGAAATCTTCTTCCTAAGCAAAAAGCATTATTCAGGAAAGTTCTTTCACCTATCAGGCAGATACAGCGAGTTGCAGAGGTCAGTGTGAATGACATGAATGCACGCGCGAGACGCGTCGTGTAGAATACACTCCCACTAAAATGGTCCCGTTCTATTCACAATGTCTACCCAGTAGAAGTTCCAAAAATGATAATGTTGATGTAGATTCAACATATTTAATGTCGTTTAATTTGTTACACAAACACCAATTTAACAATGCTTTGAGTTGAATTTAAATTTTAACGGCTAAGGGTGCTAATTTTGATTCACCCTCTAATGAATGTAAGTGGAAGTCACTTTCAAACAGAAAACTGCGACCAGATTCAGTTCTAATTAATTGTGTGGCATGTAAAAAGTAAATAATCAGTGAGTTGAACGCCAGCATAGCACGATCAATGGATTAACCGACGATCAATTGGTTAAAAAAATTGATAGAGCTTGTCTTGAATTAAACAAGAAAGACAAGAGGCGCTCATGCATCTATAGAAAGTCTTAGTTTTTGTTGATTCTTTTCTCACGTTTGGGGAAATTCTTTTAACATTCAGGACATGACGTAATGAATAACGCAGCAGAAATCCTAAAGTCAGTCCAGATTGGTTTGGATGTCGCCATATTTCTCCTTAACACTGATCGTGGCCTACAAGCGACCGAGTTATGTAATGAATGTTTATTTCTACTTCACAAGCTTGACTCTGGTATTGACCTTGATCATGATATCTCTGATGTATTATTCAATGCGTACTACGCCACGTCTGGTTACACAAATGCAGCACGATACACCACAAAACTTATTGAAAAGTTTTTCCTCGCTGGAGAACTAACCATACAACTGGGAGACAAATACAAGGCAAAATGTTGGTTTGCAGAGGCAAAGCAACTTTGTAAAAGCGCTCTTACCATCATGAAAGCGATTGGCCACCGTAGAGAAGAGGCAGTGGCTTACACGAGACTTGGATCTCTTTGTTTTATCCTCAGCGAGTATCTAAAGGCGAAAGAATATTATGAGAAAGCAATTGCCATCGCGATAGAAATCGGCGACAGAAATGGAGAAGGAACAACATACGGGAACCTCGGAGCTGTGTTTCAATCCCTTGGCGAATATCAGAAGGCCAAAGAATATTCAATATTCCGAGAAAGCAATTGCCATCGCGATAGAAATCGGCGACAGAAATGGAGAAGGAACAACATACGGGAACCTCGGAGCTGTGTTTCAATCCCTTGGCGAATATCAGAAGGCCAAAGAATATTACGAGAAAGCAATTGCCATCGCGATAGAAATCGGCGACAGAAATGGGGAAGGAACAAGATATGGGAACCTGGGAGTTGTGTTTCAATCCCTTGGCGAATATCAGAAGGCCAAAGAATATTACGAGAAAGCAATTGCCATCGCGATAGAAATCGGCGACAGAAAGGCAGAAGGTCGAACATACGGGAATCTTGGAGGTGTGTTTCAATCCCTTGGCGAATATCAGAAGGCCAAAGAATATTACGAGAAAGCAATTGCCATCGCGATAGAAATCGGCGACAGAAATGGAGAAGGAACAACATACGGGAACCTCGGAGCTGTGTTTCAATCCCTTGGCGAATATCAGAAGGCCAAAGAATATTACGAGAAAGCAATTGCCATCGCGATAGAAATCGGCGACAGAAATGGAGAAGGAAGAACATACGGGAACCTCGGAGCTGTGTTTCAATCCCTTGGCGAATATCAGAAGGCCAAAGAATATTGCCATCGCGAGAAATCGGCGCAATTGCCATCGCGATAGAAATCGGCGACAGAAATGGAGAAGGAAGAACATACGGGAACCTCGGAGTTGTGTTTCAATCCCTTGGCGAATATCAGAAGGCCAAAGAATATTACGAGAAAGCAATTGCCATCGCGATAGAAATCGGCGACAGAAATGGAGAAGGAAGAACATACGAGAACCTCGGAAGTGTGTTTCAATCCCTTGGCGAATATCAGAAGGCCAAAGAATATTACGAGAAAGCAATTGCCATCGCGATAGAAATCGGCGACAGAAATGGAGAAGGAAGAACATACGGGAACCTCGGAGCTGTGTTTCAATCCCTTGGCGAATATCAGAAGGCCAAAGAATATTACGAGAAAGCAATTGCCATCGCGATAGAAATCGGCGACAGAAATGGAGAAGGAACAACATACGGGAACCTCGGAGCTGTGTTTCAATCCCTTGGCGAATATCAGAAGGCCAAAGAATATTACGAGAAAGCAATTGCCATCGCGATAGAAATCGGCGACAGAAATGGAGAAGGAACAACATACGGGAACCTCGGAGTTGTGTTTCAATCCCTTGGCGAATATCAGAAGGCCAAAGAATATTACGAGAAAGCAATTGCCATCGCGATAGAAATCGGCGACAGAAATGGAGAAGGAAGAACATACGGGAACCTCGGAGTTGTGTTTCAATCCCTTGGCGAATATCAGAAGGCCAAAGAATATTACGAGAAAGCTATTGCCATCGCGATAGAAATCGGCGACAGAAATGGAGAAGGAACAACATACGGGAACCTCGGAGTTGTGTTTCAATCCCTTGGCGAATATCAGAAGGCCAAAGAATATTACGAGAAAGCAATTGCCATCGCGATAGAAATCGGCGACAGAAATGGAGAAGGAACAACATACGGGAACCTCGGAGCTGTGTTTGAATCCCTTGGCGAATATCAGAAGGCCAAAGAATATTACGAGAAAGCAATCGCCATCGCAAAAGGAATAGGAGACACAGGAAAGGAATGTTCAGGATACTTAGCCCTTGGAAACGTTCACTGCAGCCTTAGGAAATATCGTCATGCTAAAGAATATTTCGACAAAGCACTCAGCATCAGTACAGCAACTGGACAAAGAAGAAATGAAGGATGCGGCTACGCAGGTTTGGCAGCAGTGTTCGCTTTTATCAATGACAATCAGAAAGCAAAAGAACATTATCAGAAGGCGCTCACCATCAGCAAGGAATGTGGCGATAAAGCTCTGGAAGGACAAAGTTACCTCAACCTCGGAGATCTATCTAGATCGCTTGGTGAATGCGACGTGGCAGAAGATTACTTAGAGAAGGCTCGCTCCATAAGCAGTAGAATTGGAGACATACTGACTGAGTTTAAAAGCCTTCTCAGCATCACACAGTTAAAGGTATCGCAATCACAGGTTGTGGAGGCAAAGGAACATCTCCTTCAATGTATTGGAAAATATGAACAATTGAGGAGTTTTCTTAAAGGAAACAAAGAGTTTGAAATATCTCTGTTAGAAGCGCACGGTAGTTTTCCTTATCACTTGCTCACTAACTTGCTTTGCAATACTGGCAAATTTCAAGACGCTCTTTATGTCGAGGAGCTGGGACGAGCGAGAGTCCTCGTAGAATGCATGGCAGAGAAGTTCTCCGTTGAAAGCCACATCTCAGCTGATCCACAATCATGGTTCGGGATTGAAAACATTGTGAAGAATGAGAGTAACTGTGTCTTTTTGTACATATTGTATACTAGGCGGCAAGTTTGTCTCTGGGTTTTGAAAGCAAATGGAGACATTTCCTTTCGAGTCACCGACCAAGTGAAAGACAGCACTCTCATTCCTGAGAAAGTTTGCAACGTGGAGGGAATTTTCAAAAAGAGCGCCGCCAGCTTTGGCGTTTTACCCACAGCGAATTGCGAAGATCGATCTTTGGATGGCAACGTAACGACATCTCTTTTTGAAGAGAGCCGAGCAACTTTGCGCGGTGACGAAAGCAAAGAAACCGAAAGAATTCATCATTTGTGTTACAAATGGATCATCGCTCCTGTGGTAGATTTACTTACAGAGCCTGAAATCATCATTGTGCCGTATCGTTTCTCGTATCGAGTCCCATTTGCTGCCTTGCGTGATGAATCAGCCGGAAAGTATCTATCAGAGACTTACAGAATCCGTATCGTCCCTTCTCTGACGACCCTCCGGCTCATTCAAGATTGTCCAGCGGATTATCACAGTGAAACTGGTGCACTTGTAGTGGGTGATCCTACGGTTGGCCAGGTGTATTACAATGGAAATGTCGCTAACTTTGTACCATTGTCCTGTGCTAGAAAGGAAGCAGAGATGGTTGGTCGACTGCTGGGAGTTCAGCCTTTGTTAGGAGAGTCTGCAACTAAGCAGGCAGTGCTTCAAGCGATACCTTCAGTGAGTCTCATACATGTTGCCGCGCATGGAAATGCCGAAAGAGGAGAGATTGCCCTGTCGCCTAAATGTCCTAAATGTACCACCAACAGTTTTCCACAAGAAGAAGACTACCTCTTGACAATGTCCGACATTTTCGGAACTCAAGTGCGAGCAAAACTGGTTGTATTGAGCTGTTGTCACAGTGCGCGTGGATTGGTCAAAGCCGAAGGAGTTCTTGGAATCGCTCGTGCATTCTTAGCATCCGGTGCACGTTCAGTGTTGGTAGCATCGTGGGCCATAGAAGACGAAGCAACGGAGCAGCTCATGAATCATTTCTACAAGCACCTTGTTCGTGGAGAAAGTGCCAGTGAATCTCTTCACCAGGCCGTAAAATGGTTGAGAAGCAACGGCTTTCCCAAACCTAATCAATGGGCTCCATTTGTGCTGATGGGAGACAACGTGACGTTGGATTTTACATACATCGGGTAGGTCTAGTTCTGATAAGAAATTTCCATTAGCTACCTTACGTTACCCAACATTAGCTATCTTAGGGACTGTTCAGCAGCCGGGGGGGGGGGGGGGGGTTGGGTGCTGCTCGAGGATTTTGGTTGTCTCCCAGTAAAATTCACCTGATCCCCTGTAAGGCTCCATAATATTCTTTAGACCCCCCCTTCCCTTCCCCCCCTCCCCCACAGAACCAGAAGATTTTGATGAATCATTTTCAAAATTGGCCTTGAATCAAAGTTGCTTTTGTGTGCAAAATCTTCAGAAATTATTCTTCAAACGGAAGCCCAAGAGGATGATAGACAGGCCAAAGTAAATGCAATGAAAGCAACTTGAGAGATATAAGCTACCTAATGACTTTGAAGTTGATAGCTATTTGAGCTGTGTGTCTAGCTACTTTGAATCTTTTAGAAATTCTGATCCATATAATGCTTTAGAGTTGAAATTGTATTATGTTTGTTTCAGGAAAGAGGAACACAAGGAGGACAACAATGAAGCAGAGAAGAAACAGAGTAACAACTGATCCTGCACAAAGATTATCTTTCCTGCACATTGTTTTTGAATGGACACTGGTATTAGTTTGAACAGACATTTTTCATTTTATTGTAGATAAATGGTTATTTTTGAATGCTCTTGCAAATAAGGCTGAATCGAAAGCTAGTGACACTGAAAGCTGCATTTCAGCCCTCAGACCTATTAAGGGGACTAAAATGAATCAGCATGAAAAAATTGAAAGCATGAAATTAACTAAACGTTTACTAATATGAGAACTTTGGTAAAGTTTCCTTTGGATCGCAATCAGAAAACACCAAAACTAAACTCTAACTTGTTTTGTGAGTTGTTAGGTAAAAAAACAGGAGAAAAGGAGAACAAGCATTGCACAAAATATTACTGCCAAAGTCAAACTGAGGAGTAAAAACAATTCCTAAGATATCAATGAAACAATCTCCCAGAATTCAGAGCAGAAAGATAACTGATATTATCAAAAAGATAGTTGGAATACTGTAGGAAAACAAAATCACAAACCAGGAATGCATGGCTTTGTTGAGTATGATGATGCACAAGTGGCAGTTTTCTATGTATTTTTTCCTTTACCTTGGGGGTTTGGTGGGGAGGTCAGTATTGTCATATTTTAATCTTTTAGAACTTTCAGGAAAAGGTAAATGCTAAAGAAGTTGTTGATATGATGTTTGAAAATGTTTCATCAAAAGGATCTGTTAGGAAAAGTATAATTAGTGATGAGATTTTGTTACTGATGGCAGACTTTTGTTCCTAATCGTCAGTGGGCACTAAAAACTTATTGATTCTTAGGAGGCCTACTTATTCTTTGGCCAACTTGAAAGTTTTTGTTCCTGTGATCACTACACATTTTTCTCTTATTTGAAGTACTTTTGCATTTCTTATTTTTCTCTGATTTTTCAGTTTTGTTAATTAAGTGAAATTTATTATTTTACTAAAATAAGTGTAAATAAATAAAACTGAGAATTGGATTGGATTGTTGGAGTTAATTCTCAGATTTATTTTGCAACCTTAGACTTGGTCTGACAAAATACACTAAACAATTGTTTTCTGCAGAGTTTATCCACAAGTTCACAATTGTGTCACATTGATTTTTTTTTTTCAGTACCTCTTTTGGTGTTTTGGCCTTCATTAATCTTTCCTTGTGTTTTGCCTCTCGTTATCATTTTTACATTGACTCACAGCCAACTGTATTCAACAGCTCAGAAACTTCATCACCAAACTACCACTGTTTTGGAATGACCATATTGAATTTTGATGTAGTATGGGGGCTGAAGGGCAAGAGTCTATGGAGAGAGATTTGATTTGTGCTAAGGACTGTGTGCCATTTGAAAGTGAAATGATGGTGAGGGTGGTGGGGGGGAGGGAAGACAAGCCATAGTTCCTCCAGCCTCCCTCCTCTAGGTTTTCCTTAGGTTCTCCTATCCCTGATGCTCCTCCTTATGTCACTTCATACCAGCCAACTTTCACAATTCATTTTCGGCACTGAACCATTTAGCTACCAAAAGTGATGAAAATGCAACTTCCCCTGAAAACATAAGTGCATTGTTGAATAAACAAGTAATGAGAATTAAGTTCATCAGCTTAGAGGAGGTAGATTCCATCATCCTTTTAGCTGACATCCCAGGAAATGAACAACTACAAGGTCAAGATAATTCTAAATCCTTTAACCCTTTAACTCCCATGAGTGACCAAGACAGAATTTCTCCTTATAATATCAACACAATATCAACCAGATAAGTGAGGAGATTAAAGAAAAATATCAATTTGGGGATAATTAGTTGATCCAATACTAAATTGTCTGAACTAACATTATAGGAATTGTATGGTTGACATTAAGGAGAATTAGAAATTTGATCTGGGAGTTAAAGGGTTTAGGTTACTTCCCAGCTTCGCAGGTGTCCTACAGGAAAAAATTTGTATGCATGCTAGTTTAACCAAAATCATAGCAAATTATATATCAGAAGAAAGCTTGATAAATGCAGATTACTATAAAAAAATATAATTTAAGCAACCTTCCTTTAAGGAAGTGACAGAAGCCAGTAAGGCATAAAGCAACTGAAGGTTCTTCTATTGAATTTATCGGGCATCGGATGCTGCTGCATGAGCAAAATGGCTGCACAGTCTCATTCACAAGGCATCGATCAACAAGTGTATGTCGGGCTTTTTCGATATTCTGATTGGTTGAGTAGATATCAGCATCTAAAGTTAGAGTACCTAAAAATATGCGAGACATGTTGTGTAAATGGACTCCACAGGACAAATATTTCAAATATCAAAATTTCCCAACACACTTTCCTTTGTCATTATTCCTAGGATGCTTTGGGGAAATTTGATGAACATCTATCAAATCTATACACCCTATAAATTTGCTCAAAGTTGTTGTATTCCTCCCTAAATCAAACATGAGATTTTAGCTCCTAAAGGTTCACAAACAACTTGTGCCATGCCAGGAGATTATCTCACCTCCTGAAACTGCACACCAATAGGACAATGGGACCTCCTGGTGTCAATGACAATGGATCAAGATTTCCTGTAAAAAGTAACCCATTGCCTCTGAAGGTGGGAAGTAACCTTAACTCCCAGAAGTAACTAACATGTGACTTCTCCCTATAATATCCATATATTACTTGGCAAAAAGGTAATAAGAATACTCAGGTAGAAGTTGTTGTCTTGATCTAACATCAAATTCTCATAACTAACTTACAAAGAAATGTGTAGCAGCTTGAGGGGAGAATTAGCAATTAGATCTTAGGAGTTGAAGGGTTAATTAAAATAAAATATCAGAAAATAGATTGCTTGGCTGATGCTAATACTGTGCCTTTTCCCTCAAATAAGCCATAATTGAGTAAGTTAAGTTTTTGAATGAGTTCTATATCTTAAGAGTGTGAACTCTAGGAGCAGGTGAAAATTTAAAGATCTAAACAAAATAGAGAATTATTTATATCACCAATAGGTTGAAATCTTGTTTCACTTGCTTGCAAGGGCATAAAAAGAATATAAAGCAAGTTTGGTTTAATATGAAGAAGGATGTTTTTTGTTGCATCACAAGTAGGGGACAAAACAATTCTGATGGGGAATCAAATCTCAGACTTTCTGAATCAACCCCACAATTGGACACTGAGCCACAGAGACTCTCTCTTGACAAAGGCCATTACAAGGTTCATGTGTCATGGTAGGTTGTTTACACTTTGTTACTGGATACAAAGCCATCTTTGAGTCCACAAACTACACCATACTTTTCCACATATGTTCTCTGCTCTGTTCTGGAATTGTTCCTTTTCAGCCAATATGCTTGTCTCACACCTGGCTCATATCAACTTTACTGGATTCATGAGACATCTCGCCTTAAGTCTCTCTTCTGACTGTTTCTGTGAGAAAACAACAATGAGCAAGTCAATATGTATCATTTTAATTCAAAGTGGTCCTATATTTAAGCACTTTGACTCCGACAATGCTAAATTTCTCATGTGCAAAGGAAAGAAACCTTAGTGAAGTTTACAAAAT